TGGCCGCAGCCACGGCTGTGAGCCCACATGTTTGTTTGTCTCTATCATTCAGCCCTCTCCACGTAAACCAGTTGTCTAAAATCTTTCCTTATGCTGGATCATACAGTAAGTGTTCTAGGCTCTCAGAGCTGTCACAACTGTTCAGTTGCTGTTGTAATACAAAAGCTGATTTGTTAACAAGAGACTATGTCCAAATAAAACTTTATTTTTTTTTAAAAGGCAAGATCTAGTGTAAGAGCCATACAGAATTTTGAAATCCTGGATCTAGGGTTATGTCTCGCTAAGTCTAGAATTGGGTTCTTCATTTTCTTTTAATACTTTAGACTAGTTTCAAGCAAGACCAGTGAAAATAGTATCAGATGTGATTTTCTTTTAATGGAACCAAATTATAGATTGCTATCTCCCTAATTACTCACAATCCACTCTAGACTTTTGATCTCCAAGTCTCTGTATTTTAGGTTTTAGGACCTATGTCTTTTGACAACAATAGCTCTAGTAATTAATTTTAATTTTTGGCACCTCTCCCAGCCAGCTCAGAATTTTCCATACACTGGTGTGATAATATTTTGGTAAATTCTTTTCTTTGGCATAAAGAATAAAGAGTATAATTTCCCCCCTACAAGCAGTTATGCACAGGATACTCTCTCTCCCTGGCTGTGGAAGCGGGCTACATGTACCACGCCTCAACTCCACATTTCCAGCTTGGGTTCAGCTCTGGTGGAAATCTTTGCACACAGATAAGAACAGAGCACGCCTGACCCCTTCCCTCAGCACCGTACCCGGGTGGGGTGGTTGAGTGACAGAGGAGGACAGGTTTCAGTCTTACAACTCTCCTTCCCTATCCTATCCTGGGTGTATTTCTTTCTTTCCAATATTCCTTCCAGGTGTTTTTGCCTGAAGATAATTTTTATTGACACAAAAGACAGGAAGAGTAGTCACTTGAGAGAAACCTAAGTTCTCTGTTGCCCACACAAGACCAGATTCTGGCAGATGTTTGCCCTTTCTTTGTTTTTCTTGTTTTGAGCTGAGATACAGAATGCTTTTGGGGGTTTGCTCTTTGTATTTCTGAAAAGAATGCCACTGGGAGAAAAGAACCTCCTGATTGGATTCTTAGAGGTACTCTCTGTCACTCACACAGTCTTTCTTGATGACTCGAGGAAGAGTTTGTCCACGTCTTTAAAAATTCTAAACCAGCACTTAAGCTAACTCGCCGTAACCCCATTGTTAAACCCTGGCTGTTGCTGCCTAGGACACCAATCTGTGAACTAATCCCAGGGTTTTAGGTAACTCTGAGGTCAGGACCCAAATGAACTTACACAGATGCCATGTTTACTTTTTATTTTTCCCAAGGTAGGGTCTTGATATTTTCCCAGGCTGAAACTGAACTCAGGTCCTAATGCATGTAAAACAAGCAGTTTACAGCCAGAGTGTTCACTACAGTCCCACATAAACTTCTTTGTTACCTACATAGCCTTAGCAATTGATTGTGGTGACTGAGACCAGAATCAAAGGTTTCATCTCCTCCTCAAAAGGAGCAGTGATATTCACTGCTCTGGCCTCAGCTTCGGATGAGGTGAATCTTCCTGTACATAACTAAACACTGGTTACCTCTGTTCCATTTGTGTGCTCTTCAATCTCATCTCCATTTGGCTTTCTTTTTTTTTTTTTTTTTTTTTTTTTTTTTTTTTTAAATTTATTTATTTATTAAGGATTTCTGCCTCGTCCCCACAACCGCTTCCCATTTCCCTCCCCCTCCCCCGATCAATTCCCCCTCCCTCATCTGCTCGAAGAGCAATCAGGGTTCCCTGACCTGTGGGAAGCCCAAGGACTGCCCATTTGGCTTTCTTAAAACAACTTTTGGGGCTCTTCATACAAATATCTTGACACAAAGATTTTGGGGTAACGAGTTTGAATGATAAACTTGAGACATTGGTAAGCAAACAAAGAAATAGGTCAAGAATCAAAGGCAAACCAGTTAAGCTTGTTATGAGCAGACTAAGGGTCTGGTCACTTGTGATCTTGGGATTCAGGATGGATGGATAGACCTCTGTTGCTCAATGCGGTAGCAGCTGGTCAGGTCAACATGACACTCAATTTTAAGTCAATGACTATTCTAAGCTTAAGTATGTTACACTGTGGTTACCTCATTCAACAACTTGAGAGCCACGCGTGCCAACAATTTCCCAACTAGACAGCTCAAATGGAGGCCATCTTCAAATTTTAGGGTCTTTTCACAGAGCTTGAACACTGAATATGCTTCAGTTTCTCCCACTTGGAAGGGAGGAGGTTGGGGGTTTTATTCTCTAGTCTCATGTGTTAGTGATCAATGATTGCTAGTTTTGATTTTTCTGTATCAACAAGGATGTAAGGGGAGAGTATGAGTGCACGGCAATGATGCCTATTACAGGTATAAATCAGATTGGGTGACTTCCCTTTATAATGACTTCCTGCTACAATTCAGAAACAATGTCACATCTTAATTGTGTGTACGTGCTACATGATGTTACTTCAAACTCCTTTCCCAATGTCATATAGCTCCAGAGGTGCTTTCATTTTTGCAGACACATCCAGTTCTTCCTTGACTATGGCATTTGCACAGACCATGGCCCCTTGGAATCTGCATATATCCTCTTCATTATCCCTCCTTTCAACTCTCTCATTTCCTGCTATGCTTCTATTCTCAAACTAAACGCCACCCCCTTAAGACCTTCTGTGAGTATTCTACTGAAAGCTAGCATACTGTCCCATCATTTACTTTCTCGGTGCCTTTGGAACTTCTTGAGTTATGTGTGATTCTTGGTTATTAGATTGCTTTTTTTCATTTATAGAACATATAATGTCATTCTCAATATCTACTACTGTGGTCACTTAGTGTCAAAACCCAATAAGTGCTTGTTTCTTGACTGAATATGTGATTGAATGAATAAACATGATTTTTAACAGTAAGGTACATATAAAAAAACTTGAGGTCCTACTTCTGGAGTAATAATGAGTGTTATATAAATCTTCTTGGCCAGTTAGCCTGAATGAGTTGATACCTATATGTGGAGAAGGTGTCTGGTCATGGCTTTCACGGTTGTTGGCCATCCTCTTGCATACCAAATGGTTCGTGCCATCATTGAATTACATTCAAGTTTATTCTGGACACTTGCCATGCCTTTACCATCAAGTGCTTACTTGTATTATTGACATGGTTCAAGAGTAGCGTACACTGGCATTTTCCAGCAGCTGAAAAATACTGGTAGTGGTACTAGTGAATGGAAAATTCCAGACAATGGATCTATCCAGTCTTTGAACATCGTAGAAAGAGAGTGTGAAATAACACTGTGACTTTGTTTTCAGTGTTTATCTTGAGTGGGGAGCAGTGACACAGAGCTTCTAGGATGATGACATCATAGATTACCACTGGTATTACTCACTGGCAGTCATATTCATGAAAGGCTAATTACTCAAATCACTTTGTGTAAAATGTGTCTGCTTCTTTCTCCCTTAGTCCTCCTATAATCTTCCTACTTTGTGTAGTAATAGCCATCTTACACTGTGAAAGCAAATAGAAAGTGTACATGCTTTTCCAGGTTGTGGGTGAAAGCAAGGAAAGAAATATGTGTAAGTGACATGCATAGGACGGGAGAGTGGACTTCAGTGACATGTATAGGACAGGGGAGAGAGAGAGAGAGAGAGAGAGAGAGAGAGAGAGAGAGAGAGAACATGTGTAGGACAGGAAAGAGAGAGAGAGAGAGAGAGAGAGAGAGAGAGAGAGAGAGAGAGAGGACATGCTCACTGCCATGGAGTGTGTGTAGCAGCCAGAGGGCAACTTGTCAGAGTTTATTTTCTACCACATGGGTTCTGAACTTTGCTCATCAGGCCTGGAAGCTAACACCTTTGTTTTCTGAGAGGCTTATCAATGGCTCAATATATTTTTAAAATGAAGCAAACTCACTGAAATAAACATAATAAACAAATGGGAGCCAGCTATAAGCCAATAATGTAAGGATTCCATAACAGTCAATGATGGAAGCCCCAGACTAATAAATTTAAAATCACAGAATCTGTTATAGGTTATTTAGCGTGTGAGAGAGGGGAGGAAGAGAGAGGGAGAAAGAGGGAGAATGAGAGGGGGAGTCAGGGAAAGGGAGAGAGGGGGAAAGAGAGAGAGCCAGAGAGAGAGAGAAAGAGAGAGAGAGACAGAAACAGAGAGAGAGACAGATAGAGAGATTGATTCTTGGCCTCTTTAATTTACTTTGGAGTTTAAACTTTATTTCTTTACATCATTTTGACACAAAGCCTGTGAGTTATAGGAAATTAGCTTCCATCCTCCATGCCACTTGTCCCAAATCCTCTTGTTCCTAATTCTGCCTTTCATCATGTCTTCTTGTATTTATAAAATATGTGAAGATGGCTTCAGTCTTAACTTTTACTAAACACTAACCCTGCTGTTTAGAAGGTAATAACTCACTCAAAAAGACATGACACGTCCCTGTGTCACATAGACCCTAAAGGCTTTTGAAATGTAACTGCCAAGCTTAGTTAGTAGAGGAATTCCATGTATGTGAGGAATGGGTGATTCTCCTCCTATAAACAATATTTACACCCTTTATAACTTACTGTATCTGTGACAATAGCAAGGTGGCATAATATACCACACCATAAAATCATGACATTGCTTTGTGAAAGCTACATGATTTAATCAAAAAGAGATATTGGCTGTGTGTTGGTGAAACCATTTGTTACGTGGTGCTAGACAATGCTGAGTAGTCAACTTCCCAATGTGCTTGTGGAGCCAATGAATAGGTAAATCCAAGCACCCAAAGCGTCAACAAATGAACTGGGCTCACTTCAAAAATCTTTGAACAAGCTTCATTTTTTTCTTTTATTAAGAACAGAAGTCTGATTGAAACGTCGTGTGTGTGTGTGTGTGTGTGTGTGTGTGTATATATATATATATATATATACACACACACACATATATATATATATATACATAAATATACCAACTGTGTTACTGATTATTCATGGTATGCGGGGCACAAGCTTAAAATTGATATTAGTCATACACACTAATCCCTTTATTATCATATGCATGTGATAAAATTTTGTGCACCATAAATGTGCAGGCTCAGTAGGCAGATGGTAGCGACTGAATTCCCCAAATTTGAACAAGTTAAATTTAAACACAATTTGATGGTTCACACATTTGTGTAAGGGGCTTGGATGAATCTAAATTGCATTTGACATTTACAAATATTTGCTCTGTCTTATTGGATAGCTGCCTGATTCTGATGTGATTTATTTCTCTAGGTCTCTTCAAGGGATGTTGCTGCCTGAATTTATGGGTGTCAGTGAGCTAACAGATGTAACTCTCCAGGCTAGGTCTAACATTGGGTTGGGTTAGAGCTTCTGGTGCCTCACATACTGGTGTTTTTCTCTCTCTCTCTCTCTCTCTCTCTCTCTCTCTCTCTCTCTCTCTCTCTTGTGTGTGTTCCAGAATTGTCTTACAATGAGAGGTTTTGCATAATAGAGGAGTCTGCTTCTTTCTCATTGGTCTTTCATCTGGGATCAAAGTTAGTAGAAGACTCTAGGGGACACTAATATCATAGCTCAGTCCACCCTTCAGAGAACGTGACACAAAAACAACATTTGCTGCCATTTAAGTGAAGTTGGCTCATTTAGTTTTAGGAATGTTAGGGATTTTATGTAAAACTCGAGACTTCTGTGTTTCCTGAAAAACTGAAGATGTGACAATATGGTGACAGTAAATTCATCTAGACGTGAATTTTCATAGGCTCCCATTTCAATCCTATTTAGCAAAGTGATATCTCACACTGTCTTTAGGTGTGTTTGAGGCACTGTTAAATTCTCTGTCAAACATTTCTATTTTAACTTTAAGTTTTTTTCTTAACTATATAATTATTAGGGTTTATGGTTTTAATATAATTTATTTTTTTCTTTATGGTTTTTAATCTGAAAATGACAGATAAGAAGTAATCTCTCTCTAAAAGATATTGCTTGCCACTTGAATCTTCAATGTAAAACCCAGAAAGGACTGCTGGAATGAAGGTTTTTGTTGTTTTGGGGCAGGGGTCTCGCTCTGTATCCCAGGCAGACTTGGAACTCCTCATAGCCCTACCCTTTCCATTTCTTAAGTGCTGGGGTCTCAAGTAATGGGTAGCTATCACTTGCAAACACACCTGGGTACTGGAATGAATTTTATATTCCCTTTTTAGCAAGAATCCACACTGTTTGGAAGTCTCAATTTTACAGTCAAGATTTCTATTTCTTTCTCTAGATATTTTTTACAGGACTTCAAGATACAGAATCAAATTTTATGGTTAGAAGTTCACACATTCAATCAAACTTCAGGCTGTTTAGGTAGAGTTAAAGGGGCGTCTTGAGTTTTACTTAAGGCTTGATACTAGAGAGTCCAGAGTCAGGGGCCGCAGTGCTGTTGATTTAGGAAGAGTCTCCAACAACACAGAGGCCAGAGATTAAGTTTGGGAGAAAACAGAACACAACACTTGTACTTCTGGGATGACACGGTAACAGGAGTGTAAAGTTCCATTAAAACTTCCCCCAGGAAAAGCAGGTCTTAAGCAGGAAGATGTTTACTCTTAGCTCAGCAACTCCAAAAAGACAGGGGAAATGACTTTGTGGTGGGGGTGAGCCCCATGTAATTATCAGCGTGACCCACATGGAAGTGACCCAGTTGTCATTGGATTTATCGCTACAATCATGTTCATCAATTTCTAGGTTTCAAAATATTTTATTGTTGGCAATAGTAGCCTCCGTAGTTTCAAAGACCTTCTAGCTAACTACAAATATGAACAGGGTCTTCTTGTGATTTGGTCGAAGCAGAGTCTGTAAAACTAAATGGCAGACACAGAGGACAAGTGGGTTAAGAAAGAAGTTATTTACCACTTTAATAGGGCTGTCCAACATTTGGTCACATAGATCACTGGGAAACCTAATTGCTTTCATAGCCTTTCTATCTCACCGGAGGAGATGCGAATACTCTAGGAAAAAGCAAATCAAACATAGAAAGAGGTGCCTTGATAAGACGCGTCACTACAGCACGATGTGGTTAACAATGCCAGACTTTGGATTTAATCAGAGGACACTTCTGCAGTCTAGGACAGCTATACAAAGCCCTAAGACATTGTATTTACAGGACTTATTAATATAGGGATCTATATCCTGCCACCCTGCCAGAGTCTTAAAAGCATGGTGGAGCAGCTTCCTCAAGAATCCTCATTTGCCTATCTGTGGAAAAGCTAGTAGTTCTAAAAATATTTTCCTGGAAGAGGTTAGAACGGTTATTATATATCAATCCAATATAAAGTATGGTTATGTAAGTCAAGCTTGCATGCTAATATTGCACAGGTAGAAAGCAATAAAACAAGACGAAGAGCTTCCTTGGGTCACCAGGGAGAAGCAGAGGGAAGCTCTTGACTCAGAGTTGTCAGGATGACTCAGATTCCAGGAGTCCGTCTGCAGCTTGCTTTCCAGGGAGAGCGCCATGTTGGATTCTCACACGGGCATGTATCCTCCTCACCAAGAGAAAAAGAAATGGCAAACAAAACAAAACCGACCAAACATCCAAACCAAAAGGGATACACCAGCCACCTCTCACTGTGGTACTGTTCATTTCTTGAAGAGAATATATAATATTTCAAAATATTATATATACATATATTTCAAATGGTACAAAGTAATGGTAGTTCTAAGAAGACGATTGATCGTTCTTCGTGATCCTCCAAACTTCACTGAGAAAACTCGTTTGTTTTGATTTTTTTAAAAGTCTTTTTCCCTTGATGCTGCCAGAAAAATCCCGAGTCTTCTTATGGGGTACTCTGTTTCACAAAGCAAATGCACTCTGAGTAACCAGTCAAAGTGCAAATAAGAGAGATCCATTTGGCTTGCAAGTATGTAAGCTATTTTAAATCCTCGCAATGTATTTTCCACAGGTTGTTTTTCCTATTTGTATAATGAATGCTTCTGTTAGGTTCTTGGGTGAATCTGAAATAAAAGAAAGAAAGATATTTCAGTAATAAAAGTAAGAAATGAAGACAAAAGAAATGTGCACACGCAGAACATGAGGATGTCTTTAATTTCAGTGTGTTCATTCAGGTGGTTTCCATTGATACCTAAAATATGTGAACAGATGCTCCATATTTCCATAAATTCATTCAGCTCCTTTGTGTCAAAACCAAGAAAAAAGATTCTTTGAGAAATGACTACCCAGAGCTGGCTTCATGGTTATACAACCGCTATCCAATTCCATGGGTTCTGGACTAATAAGGGTCCCACAGGTGGTTTATTTCATTGCTACTGCTGTGTGGAATTCACCAATAAATTTTCAATCAGGACCTAGCATTTTCTTGTTGCATTGGGCCACGTAAATAACGTAATCAACCTCTGCTCCTATGATGAGCATTTGAACTCGTCACCCCATGGCCTTGTGTAGCTGTTCTGTTATAAGCCATTGAGGAGTGGCCGTTGCTAGTCATTTCCTAGATTAGTCCCTGCATGTGGAGGAACAGAAGAAGACATTTATAAGATGAGGAACTGTAGCAACCAATGGTGAGTGTTAACTGGGAATCAAGAACATGCTTATACATCTATACATGCCACTTAGCCCATCTCAGTATGGACCCAAAGATTCAAATGTTGAAGACATATGCATGCTCAAGGTACCAATGGCTGAGAACATGAACAAGGACTCTAACACGGAGAAGCCAGCTTAAGGAAATATTGTTATTGTTCTTTATCATCTCAATTTCTTGTGATATTCGGACCAAACCTATGGTCTTGTGCACACCAGGGTACCACAGAGGTACATTCCAAGCCCTCCTAATTCGTGATAGCTTTGGAAAATGATTTTCCTGAATCCAGGAGTACAAACGAATTCAAGTCTTTCAGAGTTAGGTAGAGCAATAGTAAAAATTTGCACTCAAACATTGCTTGGTCCCGCTACAGAATTGCATGGGAATTTTTCATAAATTTATTTTGAGTTCTCTCCTTACAGTGATGGAGATTTTTTAAAACCACTATTTCCTTTATTCCAATGGTGGACATAACTTTTGATTGACAGTGTCTTCTTGTCCACCACATAAAGAATATAAAGTAACATTAAAAATAAGATAAAGTAACATTCACCAAACTGAATTGAAACTGCCTTTCTTCCAAACTTTCTTTCTTTCCTCCATAACCCAACACAGAAGACTGGGAGACTCTGTCATGTTGCCATCAAATCCTGGGGACATTAACACATTAGAATTAGACACCAGAGGCTTACCTGTACTTCCTGACTAAACTAATGATTGTGTTGATCATTTCAGGTGGTGAAATGGCACTGTGTGAAGTAGTTTATCTTCCCTTTGCACATTTTTCTGACCCTTTCAGCCAACTCCATATTTAAAGCCCCTCTTTTCCCTCCCAATTGCTTTCTAATTTTGACAGCAATTTGATATTACTTCCTTGGAGGTTGGTATTCTCCTCTCCCTCCCTTTCTGTATTTCAACTGGAAATTGAACAGAAATCAGAAGTGTAATGTCACAGTCTCTCAAAACATTTTAGACCTGGTAGAATTTTAGTGAAGAAGCTAGAAGGTGTCAAAACTGATATTCCTCTCTTTCTTAAATATAAAAGAATTTTTGGGGTAGTTAGGATGGACTGTGAAATTGGAAGTCATCATCTGAGGGAGACCAAGAAACCATCAACAGAGGACCATGGATTGTGTTGGCCACTCACAAAAGCAGTGACTTTACAAGATGACTGTTATTCTCTGTCGTGTAATTTAAGGTTCAATATCTCCTTGCTTAAGTGGAAAAAAAAAACCCTTGAGTTTACAAGACACACTAATTATTGTTTTTCCCCACTAGTTTGAAGCAAATCCACAGATGATCGATTCTTCCCAAGGAAATCAATCTGTCTACGTTCTACAATCTTCATCCTTTTGTTTTTCTTTCCAATTGACTACAATTGTCTCTGAATTTCATCCCTTTATCTTAAGTATCTTCAAAGCACTTGACATTCCATTTTCAGGTGTGTATGTATGTACACACACACACACACACACACACACACACACACACACACGCTCCAAACAGCTCATTTCCTCTGTGGGAAATTCTGCTGCTCTAAATCAAGCCATTGTGCCTCCTATATAAGGTTTCTGTGACACTGAGCTTGAGTACAGCCTCACCGAAATTCCAACTCTTTATTTGATACGTTATTTTAAATAAAAGAAGTGCTAAGAAATATCTGGAAACACAAAAAAAAATTTAAGCAACATTTAGTTTAGTTTTGCTATTATATAACAATAAAACAATTTAATCAAGTAATTCAAGTAATGCTCAAGGTGAGGAAGGTTAATGTGTGGGCATGACACTTTGCTTCTCCCTAAAGGAGTGTGATGTCAATGTTATTCTACTGCACTGAATCTTTGAAAAATTCCCAAACATGACTATTTCATTCTTATATGGTGACTCCCAGGGGTCTTCTGTTTTTCTGAGGTTTATCTCTCCAAATCCCTTGGTAGAAAATGATTTGCCTTGTTCCATCTATCTTTTCTACCTCCTTAGTTTATGCTGTCTAAGACTCACTATTACCATGAGTCGTTTGCACTGTGGCTTGCTACCTTAGCCTGTTCATTCTGGTTTAGGCGATACATGTGATTTCTACTCTCCAGCCCTCCTTTAAAAATGAACACTGGAAATCTTTAAAGTATATCACACAGCGAAACATCTTGTCAGTATTACAGAGATTTTCTGAGTTCCCCCTCCCCTGAAAGGTTTTTGGTGGTTTTTGATTTCCCAGGGAAAAGAATCCAGTCCCTAGGAACTTTCTGGCAAAGTCCTTTACCATAGAATTTGTTTTATTTATTTATCTTTGGTTATGTGTGCATACATATTCTCTCTCTCTCTCTCTCTCTCTCTCTCTCTCTCTCTCTCTCTGTGTGTGTGTGTATACACATATACATGGAGCTCACCAGAGGTTCATGTCTTCATCTAGGCCCCTGCACTGTGTTTTCTGAGACAGGGTCATTCATTTAACCCAGAGCTTATAGATTTGGCAAGAATAACTGGCCAGCAGGATATAAACATGTGTTATCACAGCTTTTAATGTGGGGCATGGCAGTCTGGTTTTAGTTCTTTATACTTGCCCAGAAATTGTTTTAGCAATTGCACCATCTCCCTGGGCCTAGAGTTAGTATTTAAATTAACAGCTCGAAAGAAATGCTCACTTCCCTTAGAGTTGTTATGTATGGGATCATTAAGGGTTTATTCTTATAGTTTATTTTTTTTAATTTATTAAATTAAATTTTTTTTAATTTATTAAATTAAATTTTTTTAATTTATTAAATTAAAAAAATACCAATCAAAATTTCCACTCCCTCCCCTCCTCCCATTCCCTACACAATCCATCTCACCCCCATCCAATCCCAAGAGAGGGCAAGGCACCTTGTCCTGTGGATGGTCCAAGGCCCTCCCTACTACATCTAGGCTGAGCAAGGTATACATCCGAAGAGAATAGGATCCCAAAAGCCAGTACATGCAATAGAGATAAATCCCAGTGCCACTGCCAGTGGCCCCTCAGCCTGCCCCAACCATGCAACTGTTAACCACATTCAGAGGGACCATTATGGACCTATGCTTGTTCCTTCCCAGTCCAGCTGGAGTTGGTGAGCTCCCATTGGTTCAGGTAAACTGTTCCAGTGGATGAACCCTCCATGGTCTTGACCTCTTTGCTCATATTCTTATTCTTTTTATTCTTCAACTGGACCATGGAAGCTCAGTTCAGTGCTCCCTGAAGCTTGGTTCAGCCTCCTTACAGTTGTTTTGGAAAGGCAAGTTGCATTTTCAGGTTCCTGAGCTGCTTACAGGGACTAATGGTGAGGCCATCAACTGTGGTTCTTTCAAATTAGTGAACACATTGTTGCTATCTAGAGAAACACAATTTCTCTGTGTTCAGTTCTCAAATAGTATTTGAGAATTTATTGAGTGCTAAGAAGAATAGTCAACTAAAAAGCAAGGCTTTTTTTTCCCCATTAAATACTTCTTCTTGTGTAGAGAGATGTGTTCAATTAACCTCAAGAAAAGAACATTTAAAACCCGTACCTGGGGATGGAGAGATGGCTCAGAAGTTAAGAGTATTGGCTGCATTTACAGAGAATCCGAGTTCTGTCCCCAGCACTCACATTGTGGTCTACCACCATCTGTAACTCCAGTTTCAGGGGACCTAATAACCTCTTCTGGCCTCCGTGGGCACCAGGCACACACACGGTGCACAGAGATACATGCAGGCAAATTACTCATACACATACAAATAAATAAATCTAAATAAGTTTAAACTACAAAAAAAAAAAGAGAAAAGAAATGTTCGCTTGTCATTTTAACAGTTAGGAGTTTAGAATATCTTTTACCTTTTTCATTTATAAAATAGTGGGCAGTGTTCGTTTTAAACCAATCTTACATATAAGAAGAAAATGAGTAGGTTCTTTTATGTTTCTTACCTCTTAGATAACAATAAAAATTGAACTCGTAACGATTGAAGTCCCTCTGTGAATTAAACTACTTTAAAAATCAAATTGCTAGAGTCAGTATTTGAAATGGGTAGGCCTACATGTAATCTCATGGGAAAAATACACAGTAGTGTGTGAAAATTAGCATAGACCTTGTTTGGGGGATATCTTATCTAAGAGGTGGTGTTAGTCTGCTCTGAATGTGGGCTCCTGGATGAACGAATGTCTGAGTTCAATGGCTATGTTTACTGCTTAAACGAGTCTTTTTTCCCAATCTGGGAGTTCTTAGGAATCTAGCAGAGAAAAGGTGAGAGTAATGTCTGCTTCTCTCAGTGTTTATAAAGCACAGCCTTATTCAGTGTCCGCTTTGCCCACTCTGAAAGTAGCCTTGAGAATTCTTAGATGTGTGAGAACACATACACCCTTAACTCTCAAAGCAGTATCAGCCATGGTTTATTTCTCTAGTACCTTCATTTGCCTGGTTCAATCTCTGTGCACCAAGGGTGGAGCAAACAGCCACTACAACCTCAATTACAATGATCAGGTTCTGCACAAGCCTCCTTCAAAGTGGAAAGTGTTTGTAGGTGTATTACAACATGCTGGATGGTTAAAATAGAGGTACAATTTGGATGAATGTTGGACAGTGCACAAAAAAGTATCACGGACTATTTCTGGATATTTTCATTTTTTAGTTTGTTTCATTCTCATTTTTAGTATAAAGTCTATCTTCCAAAGAGTCTCTGAATTGGTATTCATGGAATTTTCTATACTTAAATACTGAAATAATTGAGTTGGGTTAATTTTTATTAATGAGTTTTGGATTCTTAGCCAGTGTGAGAGCAATGGAGTGCCTTCTATAAAGGACATTAGTCATCAGTTGAAGAAGGACTGAGCCTTGGCGTATGACACCTAAATGATTTGTTCTGACCAAATTTGATTGGACTCTAACTAAAATTCGGAGTAGCTTCAAGTGTTCTAGTTTGTCCAGGTATGTTTCAGAGAAAACATAACCAGAGCCAAAATTGGCCTCCTCCATCAGCTAATTAAAACAATTTCTTTGAGTATAAACAACCTGAGCCAGCCTCATTTCTTGATGCTTCCTTATGTAAGTGTTTAATTGAAATGTGAGGCAAAGACCTGTGCTGAATTATTCAGAGACACGAGAATTCATATTAATAAGCTGAGGTTGTTCAGAAATCCCTCTTGACCATAAGTCAAGGAATTATGGCCATTTGTTGGTCACTATAGTGGACTATAGTGATAATCCTTTGTTTTGTATGTGAGAATTGAATGTTTTATATAGCGTTATGTAACTTTATTACTGATTTCTGTACCACATAGCTGTAAAGATCACTTTTACTAATTGACAGTAGGATATTGAGAAGAAGGATCAAATGAAGGTTCATTGTGTTGTAGCTAAAATTAAAAAATTGAATAACCTTTTGTTAGAGTAAAGTTTATCATGTGGACTTCAAACTGGTAAAGATCACTTTTAAATGACAAGAAATGAAAGCACACGAACCCAGTTACAGGTACTCACACACACACATACAGGCACACACAAACTCTCCAGGGCTGATATGCTGACAGTTGGGAATACATAGCATAGGATCATACCAGCTGTTAAATTATTTTCATGCATTTGTACTGTGAATACATAATCTCTCTTAAGCATCCAGAACTCCACTCACCTTCCCCTCTTAGGTGTCTTACATTCCAGACACATTTCAGTCCTTACATGATTAATGGTTGGCCTAGCCACATCACCTCACCCTGGTATAGCAGTATAACACTGATTCTAAAGGATGAGGCAATGTTACCTACAGAGTTCAAACATTTTAGGAAGCTCCTGGTTTAACCAGAGAAACAAGGAATAATTACTGATTTTACAAATCTCTTTGTATTTCTCTAAAATGTCATTAAAATTCCTTTAAACATGATTGTACTTAAACACAGTCTTTTTTAGTATACCACCTGGATGAATGAAGCAAGCCATGTGCTTATCACTCTGAGCACTGTGGTTGGAAGATACATTCCCCAAGTAACCACCCTACTGATGACTCCTCCCTTGCTTTATTTGTGATTCTGTAACGTAAAGAACTACACCATGCAAAAAGGTCAGGTTGTAACTTTCAATTCATTGATGGAAACTGACACACCCAATCCAGAATATGTCCTGATAAAGGAAATCTCTCCTCTTGTCCTACTCAAAGCCCTTCAGACTGCTGCCAATGCAAGAGCAAAGCAAATGGTACAATCTGAGACATGAATGCAGTATTTGAAGTGGACTTACTCTTGTGGTCTTAATTTTGTTGCCTGTGGCACACATCCATCCAGAATTGTCAGGGAGTGTCTTACATTCTTCTCCTTCTAGGCAGGGCTCCATCTCACACCACCATTTCCCAATCACTATGGAGGCTGCGGGAAAACAGGAAACAACTGTATTTGGTACTTTGCCTTACAACCCTGCTCTGATGATGTATCCTTCTGCAGGTTTTTATATTCTCTGAAGCACAGTAGGTATACTTCCACCTTCTAAGACTGACTAGGAGAGACACATCAAGAAAACAGTTTAATATATTATAATGTCATCATCCTGTCCAAATTCACCTCATTTGGTTAAAAAAAAAAGTGGGGAATGAAACACTTTTGTGTCATTCTGTTGGTGACAAGGTCGTGCTATGTAGCTCTTTCTGGCCTGAAGCTTGCTATGTGGGAGACTTACTCTCAGAGTTCGAGGGATTTCGACTCACTACTTTTCGTAGATGAGGCACCTTGTGTTATTTCTTGTCAGTTAACGGGGCAAAGAGTTGAGTATTCTTCAGAATAACTAACGATTCTTTCCAGAAAGGCCAGTTTATCCACCCAGTATTAGGTTTATCCATTAGCCTGCGTCCTTTGAGAATTTCAAAGCCCTAGCAAAAGAAAAAAAAGCAGAACTGAAAGCGTAGAAGCAGAGCTGTAAAGTACAAATCAAGAGTAATGATAAAGACAAGCCCGTTCCTTTGCAGCCAAAGGTGCAGTTGGTATGGCCAGTGGTTTCCCTTTCATGTGTTTGAAAAGCTGTGGAAGAGCTATACAAGCCCAACCTCAGAAGAAACTGTCTTTTGGGGGTTATATCAAGGATGATCATATGAAGACACTGGCAATGAATACACATGTGTGTATATATATATATATATATATATATATATATATATATATATATATGAATACACACATATATAACATTTTTTGATAATGATACTTAATAAAACAATGAAAAACAAATATCTGTTATGCTATGGTTTTCACTGTGTTAGTTCCTCACAAATCCACCTGGGTTTGTTCCATTTGAAGAACTCAAAAGAAGGGCCTGGAGAGAGGGCTCAAGGGCTAAGAGCACTTCCTACTCTTGCAGAAAAACTGGGGTTCAGCTCCCAACATCCACACAGTGGCTCACACCCGGAATCTGTAACTCCAGCTCTAGGGGATGCAAGGTTCTCTTCTAGCTTCAAGGGCATCAGTCATGCGCATAGTGCACATACGTACAAACAGGTCAACACTCATATGCATGAAATAAAAATAAATAAATCCCCCAAATAATAGCAACAATAAACACACATGCTCAAAATGGCAACTGGCAGCCATTTTTTTTTGGTTTGGCTGGTTATTCAAATTCTATACTGGGCTTCCAGCTACTCAGCCATCTTGCCTCTCATCCCCAAAGGGAATCAGCTACCATGATTTTAAATCATAGTGGTAAAGGAGACAAGCAATACTTATGTCTCAGAAGATGAATATTAAAATTCAGGGAAGTAGGAACACATTAAAATTCTCCATGCTTCCTGTGTTAACTATAGGGATTAGATTTCTATCTTAAAAATATGTGGTATACACCCCCAAACAGCCACTTGAATTTCGACTTTCCTTCTTCCACACTTTTTAAATTAAAAGATTTATTTATTTATTTTTATTTAGTGTGTGTGGATATTTTGCTTGTATGCTTCTCTGTAACACCACATGCATGCAGTACACGAAGAGGGCCATAAGAGGGCATCAGATCCCCTGGAACTAGAGTTACAGATGGTTGTGAGTTGCCTGCGGGGTATAGGAAGCCAACCCAGTCCTCTGGAAGAGTAGCCAGTGCTCCTAACTGCTGAGTCATCTCTTCAACCCCATTTCACACTTCCTTTAGCTCATTTCCCTTAGATTTCAACATTGCTTCGGCATTGCATTGAGTCACTGGACAGGGTTATGTAGACAAAAATCATACCTGTTCCTTTATATCATGAATTTGAGAACATTTTTGGGGGCGATTTTGTCACATTCATGTGGAACAGACCAATGCAAATATGATGCCTCTATCAGGTTTGCTAAGAAGGTGTCAGAGGTCAAAGTTCACTAAGCCTTCTATCCATGTACAGGACAGCATGAGATGATGAGACAGACAAAATTCTTCCCATGGTTCAGCCTTACGACGCGACTGTCTAATTATTTTTCTTGCTAGTACCAGTACTCACTCTACAACAGGCATACAGAAGGGCGGGGTTTTTATGACATGTGTAAAAGGACTTATCCATGCTGATGAATAGGTGAGAGTATTAAATAAGACAGTCTAAATTTTCCGCAGCAAAGAAAACCAATGTCACATTGGGAGGGAACAAAAAATAAATGGTAAAACTTCAAGAACGTGAAAGAAAAGTAAGGATTTGCTGGTATTTATTGAAATCCTGTAACATATGGTTCCCTTCAGCTGGTGTGTAGCCAGAAACAGTTCATGCACACTTATCGCCAAAGCCAATGTTCTCTTGTAAAGCCTGTCCCATATTTCCATACCGTGGCCCTGAATTGAACAGATGCCATCTGATCTCCTCTCTGAGGGGAAAATGCTCTCCTAACAATTCTTTCATTGAGCATGTTGCCATATATTTTTCTTCTCACGGAGGCATAGTGATAACCAACACGTGACAATGGGTCAGCCTGTAGTATTTAAGCCTGCTTCTACAGCCCTGTGCTCCCTCCCTTCCCTCAGGCAGCTCTCTGCCCTCTTTGTGCTGCCCTATTTTTCTATAAGCTACTACCAAAGCCGTTTCCCTTTCTCTTGGGCACTAATGTCTCCTAGGTAAATGTATGGACAGACAGAAGAGAGTTCCCAAACTCAAGAAGTACCTTTAAGTCAAAGCTTTAAAGAGCCACAGACTGCTGTGGGAAAGGCTCCATGTAAATGGAAATATCCCCAGATACATTTATAATAGCAAAACATTTGGACCATGGCGTTCTTTACAGAGTGAAGTCGCTGATCTGCCTTTCCTCTGTGAGTCTGGTTCATCATCCAGCATGGCCTTGTTTGATGAACCACCCCATCCATCATACGGGCATCTTCAGAAATACTTCTTCTCATCCTAGGTCAAACCACAGTCCCTAATTCTGACTTTTTTCCATAAACTTGTATTTCTTTAATATCTTTTATATGATTGACAGAGACCATTTCAAACTACCCCCTTTCTTTGGTCAAATTGGAAGTTATTTTAAACCTTCAAACTTGGGAACAGTTAAACTCTGTTAAACTTCATAAAATGAGCTTTATCAGTGCAATTTAGCTGTTCTATGATATTTTTTTAAATGGAGATAAAATTAAAAGAAGAAAAACATGAATATAAAAATTCCTTTTTCCTGCTCAGCACATATTTTTGAAATAATATAAAAATTGATCCGTGCATTTAGTAGTATTCTCCAAACTTTGGTTAGTTTCCTGAAATGTATTCAAATTTCATTTCTTAATTGTCCCTTAATTTTACATATGGATGAAACACACTATTTGGTTCTTTTCTTTACTACATTTCTGTTCTCCCCATTCCTTCTCTTTAGACCCCTTTTTTGTCCAACATAGTCTACTTTTGTTCCTTGTACTAATATATATATTAAAAATATACATTTAAAATCTAGAGTCTACATCTGAATAATTCTTAATTGTCTCAAATTATAGTAGTTAGTAATACCTATAACTGTCATTTACTGAACATCAGTCATGTGTTTCTATATTGGAAATTCTATATTTTTTTTATCTTGAGGATCTTCATTATGTAGCCCAGGTTGGCCCACACTTAATGATATGTCTGCTTCCACCCCTGAGGATTAGCATTGCAGTGGTGTGTCACCCCACCCGCCCCCTGTACTAAGAACTGAAAATGTATTATATCCTCCTCCGAGGTGTTACTATGGAGCCCTAGTGGTTAGTTTTTCCAGGTTTACAGAGGTAAGAGGGCCTCCTGGCCATCTTAAACACAATCCTTGCAGAGCTCACATTTTTATAGCTTTGTGTTCAGAATTCGGAGAACTTAAAACAATTATTGATTGCTGAGTGAATGAATTCTCCCTGCCATATTACTGCTGAAAATAATTTCATGTCAAACAAACACATACAGAAAATAAAAACCATTCAGTGTCTGATGAAATTAGTTTCAGCACGCTTGCTGCTTCTCCGGTCTGAGATGCGCTCTGCTCGGTTCCATTAGTTACAACATTGTAACAGAAATCCCCACCAGGGAACAATTTTGGCAGTGAGGGATGCTGTGTGGCAGATCTGTAACTGTGACAAGGGCTTTTTCATCCCTTAGAAAAACCGAGTTAATTAAACACCATCTACAAAAACGACTTCCTCTTTTCCGTAGTGATTATGAAAGGGGGCCTTTAAGGTCCCTTTTAACCCCGGGGTTCAGGGATTTGCTCTGAGAATGTGTCACGTGAAGGAAATATCTGATCTTCAGCCCCTTTAAAAATGTTCATGTCTCCTGGAGAGATTCTTAAAAAATCACTAAAGCCCCTTTAATCATGAGTCCTGGATTTCTCCCGTATACCAGATCATATTGCTGCTGGGCTAAAAAGATACTGTAAGGAGAATCAACCCGCCTGTCAGTGAGACTCTAGATGGGCGGGCATCCTTGTTGGGTACCGCTTCTGTTTTTACTACTGCCGTTGATGAGGGGATGCAGTGAGATACTAATCGGCGCTAAGTTTAATAAATATAGCACAGAAGCGTCATATTGAACAAGAGTAGAAATCCGTCTTTTATCATCTCAGCAAACAGAGGTTGACTCCCAGGCCAGGAACTGTTTGTCGTCGCACTATTAGTATACCTAGAGTGATTAAGACCACGACAGAGGCCGGCCCTCCAGCTTCAGTCTAGATCTGGATTCTTGCCAGAGGCCCAGGCACTATTTGGCATGAATAAATGGGCACAGTTATCTTCTGCGAGCATTACCATACTGAAAGAACTGGCCTTGGGCGTGGGGTGAGAGGGTGGCGAGTGGAAATAGGAAAACTTTATTATACTCTGGAAGTTCTTCAGAGCAGGAAGCTAGGCTTCTGTTTACTACTTTTGTTGAATAGGGTAAGTCACTGAAGATTTTAGAACCTAAACTCCACGAGCAAAAGTG